TTTAATATTCATTTTCTTGGCATATCTATTTAAGTTAAGATGGTAAAGCAAATCAAATTATTTGAACTCGATTTATATTCAGCTGAATAAAAAACAATTCAAGAATGACTTATTATATAAATAAGTTAAAATTGAACACATTTTGAAATTCGCCTATTTTTTCAGTTCAGTTTGAACTCAGTTCTATAAACTTAAATGGGCAATAAAATACCAAGTTGCTTCGACTCAATTATATTAAAACTCGTTTGGGTTCGGTTGAAATGGTAAAGAAGACAAACTTATATATATTTTAGTCAAATAAAATCATATTACGATTCATATTCAAAATAAAAAACAAAATAGTGTTAAATTTACAATTCATGCATATTTTTGTTTGGCTAATATTGTAATTTCTATCGTAGACCCCTAGCATATCCACCATGAAATTATTTTACATTTATTTGGATTTGGATAGAAAGAGAATATTCAAATAAGCTTGAAATTTAAAATTGTATTTGAAAAGTAATTTTAATTTTTTTTTGTGTGCACGCTTTCCCATGGCCAGGGTTAATAAAATGAATTAGGAAAATCAAACCTTGTGGTTGAACAACGGTTGTACTTCAGATCTTGTAGGCCAGTTGTAGAAACTTTTAAGGCTTACCAACTCAGATAGATGAAGAGTTGTTAATTGAGAGAGCACGATGAGATCATTACTGGTGGTTCCTTCTTTTCCTTTCTCCGAGACTATCGCTTCCATCTTTGGACAATCATCTACGTTGAATGTTTCCAGATTTTGCAGTCGTGAGAGCATATTGAACTGGACCACGTGTACCAATTTCTTACAATTAGAAACCGTCATATCTTTCAGTTGGCAGAAGGACTTCGATTCTTCTTCTGAGACTATGAGTAATTGCTTGTCCCATATCTCTATTATGTTAGGCAATCCCTGAATTTTCAAATCCTTCAAGACGGGGAAAGCAACCTGCAAAGTAATTTACAACACATGTAGTTAGTGACTGTTACAAAATTGTGGATAAGCAACAATTGATAATTGCAACAGTTTCCAAATGCATGCTTTAATCATGTATGAGCGGA